TCCAAAACGTCACTACGCGACGCACCAACGGCCTCGTATATGCGGTCCGGCGTGAATCCAAAACGTCAGTACGCGACGCACCAACGGCCTCGTATATGCGGTCCGCCGTGAACCGAAACGTCACTATGCGGCGTACCAATGGCCTCGTATATGCGGTCCAGCGTGAACCAAAACGTCCCTACGCGGCGCACCAACGGCCTCCTTTATGCGGTCCGCCGTGAACCAAAACGTCCCTACGCGGCGCACCAACGGCCTCGTATATGCGATCCGCCATGAACCGAAACGTCGCTATGCGGCGCACCAACAGCCAACAGACTTTCGATGAGAGTGACGTCTGTATGGCCTGCATGGCATTCATACTATTGGGAACGAAGCGATGGAAGATCAGGGTTTGTGGGCCAGATTGTTCCATTGGAGATTCTGCATGTTTTCGTGACAATATTTGTACGTCAACAGAAATAAATGTCTGGTGTAACATGGCCTGTGAACCTGACCAGTGACAATTCTGGACATAATCTTGCAAGACAAAGGAGAAATTTTCCGTCCTGCAAAATACTTTACACACTTTCACTTTAGACTATGTTTATGAAATAAGCAGAGTTAAAGAGTGCAATTAGTGTATATTTTCAGTGTTTTTTTTTTTAACTAAGTTCAGAGCCCCGTAACTCCTACATCACATTGATTTTTTTACTCCATTAAGTGGGGAAAAAAAATCACCCAGCCTCACACAGGTTAAAAACAGGATAAAAAATGGAGGCACTTATCCTGTGAAGGAGACCAAGTAACAGAACATACATTATGCATATTTCATGTGCCAAATTTCAAAAGTTAAAATTGGCAGAGGAAACTAGCAGCCCAAATCCTAGTAACACTAAATTTCAGACTAAATTATCCTTCCAAAAGAAAGGAAAAAAAAAGAAAAACCTGCAACAGGATAATTTCGATAGAGAATAAGTGAGGACAGCAGTGCAGAGGTACCCTGGTCAGGCGCTGGCTCCAGCCCTGATACAGCCGGCTCAGCTCTCCCTCCATCTGCCGCAGGGCCTGCCTTCGCTGAGCCTCCGTCTCCGCATGGATCAGGTCCCCCAAGCCCTCGACCTCGGTCAGATCCAGCTTGCCAGCGTGGAAGGCCCGTCTGGTGAACTCCCCGGCCTCCGCTGGGCGAACGCCTGGAACACTACCTAAGATGGAGGCCCTGAGTTTAGAATAAGACTCACCCCGGGGGTAGGAAGCCACCGTATCAGGCGACATTTCTATGGCACTGATGGAAAAGAGACAGGAGCGATACAATGGGGGGGGGGGAATCTTACTGATTTTAAACTTCCACTACATACTTTAGCTTTTGAACAATTACACATTAATATATTACATCTTATTTAAAAACACTAATAATATGTCTATGAGTAGGAATTATGAGTAATAACTGCAGTATAAATGTAGAGAACTTAATTATTAATAGCATTTCGTGCTTTATTTGATATCTCCATTACCTTTTAAATCTCAGTATAAGGGACGTTTCAAATTGACTTGTACTCTAGTGCCCTCTAGCAGTCAAAGGTATGAACAGCATGACCACTAACGGGTAAATGATCTTTACTTGGCAACCGATGCTATTTAAAGAGGAACCCCAATGGCAAGTATAGAAATTGTATGTTTTTTATAGGGGGAAACTTTTCTACTCATTTATATTATATTACATTTTAGATGTTCTTCTCTTACCGAGGGCTTGTAAAACCCCAGTGATGACAGCAGCACCCCCGTGTAAGTGGAACTCTGCACTGTCTTCTCCAGTGAAACTGCGCGGTCCTGAAACCGGGTACATTGAAATGTTGCTACAGCACGGTTTTCTGGCACTGAACGTGCGTGTTATTTTACATCCATGAAGACCTTATAGGTGCCCCTCCCTCGACATCGGACCTGGGAACCACAGCACGAGTCCCCGGTCGAGTAGCTCCTGGGAACGGGGGTCGGTGACGTTTCGGAGGACCGCAGTCCTTGGGGGAGGCAAGCCCCGCGATAGACCAGCCATGCTTTGGAGAACCAACGCAGAAGCAGGACCACTGACCCGCACCACTGCCACGCCGCACATTCCGTGTCCAGACGACAGGGCAAAAATGGTGTCGGCATCATATATCCCTTTGCAGCACAAATTCTTCGTTAAATTTAATCTGTTCAGAAAAAAAACGAGAGAAAGAAGTGGACTGCTCCGAGATCATGAAGTCCCATAAAATATACTACAGGAAAAAATTAAAATGGACATGACTCAAAAGCAACAAAAAAGATACGTTAGTAATTATTTGTATTAACTAACCTGAATTCCTTTCTAATGAATGAAGATATTCTCCAAACCGCTATAGAATTTAAAAACATTTCATTACACAAAACTACTATCTATCTTTAAAAGATACGGGTGTTTCAAAACAGGAATTTAACACGATATTATCTATACTACTTACAAAACAGTTAGATCAAACACATAACATTCGCTTTACGTTGCATGCTTAACCACTCTCAAAATAAATGGCGTACCCTCACGCCTCCCAGAATATAATTTCCTGATTGGTTAAGTTAATTTATGTCATGCAATATTCGTAGATCTTATTGGTCTGTCTTCCTTCAATCAATATCGAAACCCTCCGTTTTGTGGGCTGTCGTAATGGTTCCGTGTGACAAATCAATTTATATCCAGAAACTTTCCGTAAAGATTTACGTATTATTTTCGTATCAATGATCTAAATTCAATGACAAAATTTTGAAAGATGCAGTTTTCAGTATGTTTTCCCTTTACCTGAGATATAGTACAAATTTTCACAATATAAAGTTAATTAAAGGCATAGTAGAAGTAGAAAATAAAAATATTTCAAACATAATTTGGGATTTCCCCATTGTGGTATTTTTATGTGGGCATGTATGTATTCGTCTATTTTTCTGTTTGGTTGCAGGCTTATATGGATTTAAAAATGGACCTTTTCAAGTGAAAAAGATATCACATCATTTAATCCAAAATAAATCTTTCATGATTAATTGCTCATTTGCCAGTGAGGTGATGTAACAAGTCTAATTGAGTGATGAAATTTTAGAATTCACCATCAGTAAAATTTAACGTGCCGGCACATATATTATTCAAGGGCATGTTCCTTGAGTGGGCTTTTGGTTTATGTCTATCACCTCATTTGGGGCGTTTTGCTTACTCGCTATCAGATACATGAATGAAACTGGAAGAACCTATATTAGAGTAACAGAAACACAGATCTATAAATCTGTCGGTTTACGGTGTTTTATTGTAAACAGGAAGATAATGTCAATTTCAGGAATGTATCCTTGTTCACATTTCATGGTTTTTGGCATTGTTTTCCACTGATGCCATTCGTGTCGTCAGTTAATGGCATTAATGAGTCACTGGTAATGTTATGCTTATTTTGTTGTGGAACCCTGCAGGTCACTTTTAGTCTCAGCAGTAAAGCGGTGAGTAAGCAGCATTCAGGCTGGGGATCTGCCTCTGAGTAAGGCTGAGGAAAGGAGCTATATGGCAAACAGGAGAGAGGGAGAACATCAAGGAAGATTAATTGTTGTAACACCTGCAAGAGGAACTGCAGCCTACATGATAAACCACTGAGGATGACCCTGCCTCCACAGACAATCACATGTTTATAAACCAGTGTTTCCCAGTCGGGTCGATGGGGGACCCCCAGTCAGTCCATGGTTTTGTTACCTCCAAGCTTCCTGCCAGACAGGAGCTGGAAGAGAGCAGAAAGCAGGACTGTCTGTGGGTCCCCAAGGAGCGGATTGAGAAACACTCCTCTAAACCATTAGCACTTTTCTTGTAATCGTTGCTCTCTTAAGTCAGTAAATATTCAGTAAATATTCCGTCCTGCGTGCCGCTCCTCCTGGGGTGGGCTCTGTCCCATCCGGGGTCCCCCGCCCTGCGCGCCGCTCCTCCTGGGGTGGGCTCTGTCCCATCCGGCGCATCCCCCCCCTGAGCGCCACTCTTCCTGGGGTGAGCTCTGTCCCATCCGGGGTCCCCCACCCTGCGCGCCGCTCCTCCTGGGGTGGGCTCCGTCCCATCCGGGGCCCCTCCCCTGCTATGCTCTGTGCCTCCTGGAAATTACTTTTAATGATATGACACTATATTAAATTATAGCAACACGTATATTATTCACATTTTTAGTGACAGTTTTCAGGATAGACGAAGTTGCTCCCCATCCCGGCTGTAATATACTATTCCACTTTGAGACTATGCGCCGCCCAGCTCTCCTTTAACACTGGAGGCTACTGGTGTTTCACAGCCAAGAGAACCGGCATAAAACAGAAGACAGAAGAACCAAACGGCTCGGAGGCACAAGACTTACCAAAGCATTAGGCGAACACATACCGAGTCTTTTATTATAGTGTCCTGCTAGAGGGGCAGATGTGAACAGAAGTGGGGAAAACATGAAAATTAAATTAATGTATGAAAAAATTAATGGCAAAAGGTGGAACGGTTATATTTCTTAAACATCCATTTTACTGACAGCATTCTCACCCCCATCTTGACCAGTGAGTTTTTAGCGCTGGTACCCCGCGCTTTGATTAGAATATTATTGATGTTCCGTCGTTTTTAATTCCTCCTGGTTTCTCTTTCGACTGTAAAAAAACAGCTCAGACAGCCCACTTAGGGGGGCCCTAGCCTTGTCAGCCACAGGGAAGTGTCTCCCTCTGCAGCCACTGCAGTGAAAGAGCCGCTTAACTGCACCTAACTTTTCAGTAAGGTTTACTCAGTAAGTATTCCGCTTGCCTTGCTAATGTAAGGCTTGCACAAGTAAGTCAAGGTAGGTTATATGTCAACGCTACATAAACATTAAATATTAATTATTAAGTTATCATCAAGTTATCTTGTTTACAAATGCACAGCTATCGCTGAGCAGGACCATATTTGGTTGGTTACTGTCATTGAGATCCTAAGGATTTAGGATTCACTATAACACCATGAAGGCGATGAAAAGCGCGTGTGAATCCGCGTGTGTGTGTGCGCGCGCGCGCCTGTGTGTGTGTGTGAGACGGTCTTTACCCTCTTCTCTTTGTCCCTCCTACCAAGACTCGCTCCGGTGCGCTATCTATCCGCATGTAGCCTATCCCGCTGCAAACCAAGATGAACCACAACAACCTTCATCTCACTTTCACGTCCATTTAAACTCTCATCCCCCCGCGTCCAACCGGCCTCGATCTATGCTACCCTGACACACCATACCGCGCTCCCTTCTCCGCCGGCATCACCGACACTCGCTCCCCCTCTGGAAGCAGCATGCCCGAGACGGGAGCGGCAGCAGCAGCGACTGCTGCAGCCGCGAACGGAACCACCGACAGCGAGGGCTCACGGCACAGACACCGATCGCAAGGAGACGGAGAAAAGGCAGATCCCCCTGCTGCTTCCCAGCAAACCTCCTCCGGGGTCTTGGGTGAGTCTCGCTTATGTTTAGGGCGACGTACACTGAGTTCGTGCACGAAATGCAAAATCTGAGCAGCAGACGCAGGTGGATGCGAAGGGGAAGCTGGATTCTATTAGATAGAATGAATCCGCCGCAGACGTGCCCCGTCCTTTTGTCTGTGGATCCTCCACATTAGAGAAAACCCTTTAAAAATTACATTTCTTATCGTTGGTATGACGCTCAAAAGTGCACCGACGCCTTTGTCTCCGAAGGTCAAACACATCATCCTTGCTGTCACGGCACATTTCCAGTTTTCCTCATTTTTGCTGGTAAGATGCGCTCAGACTTCGCTCGCCCTCGGGGTTACGTCCTATGCCGAACTGAAACATCCCGTTATTCTCGTAGTTTCTAACAACATTAACTTTGTAAAGTAATACTGTGGGAAGAAAGGTTAAAATTGGCTTTGTTTTGGCCGTAACTCCTCACCTTGAGGTTTTATATAGGTTTGATAGTTTTTGATCAGACTGAAATGACGAAAATAACAATGCCTGCAAATCCGCGATTTTGCAAATGTTCCATATAGTTCCCGTTTAGATGAAATATTAATAGTGTTTTGTCTCTGCCACCATATTCTCCAGGATTTGGCCTTTCACACGTTTGATGCCGTTTGTCACGTTAGTACAGGCTTGCTTAGGGTTAAACGGCCATGTCGGCTGGCTGTTCGGGGCTGAAAGCGGCGGAGAAGCGGAGCACACATTGCGGCGGTGGCGCGTGAGTCCGCGGCCGCCGCTCGCGCTCCAGTTGTGCTGCAGGATGATGCGGTGTAGCACGGCCATACTCTGTCTGAGGGACCTTATGTAGCTGTGCCTGAGCAAAGCTGTCTGATTCACGGCGCACACAGACGGCACTGCGATCAGTGGCGATCTTACGTCAGATCGGTCATATAAAGATCATGACAATGTAAATGCAATGTCAGATATTACGCACTTCTTTCTGTTATTGCGTGTCTATATGTTTAGATGATGATCATTAAAATTATTCTTATTTAGTGTGATCTCACTGTAACGGATTAGAAATATATTATATATGTATACATATATATAGAGAAAAGTTCTTTGAACTTATAACTATTTGATAGAACCGCTTCCGTGGTTGTTTGTGGCAGTGGTGGTGGTTGTAGAGGCTGCCGCGAAACCAAACAGTTATGTGTACGAATATGAGCGCATTTTATGGGTAAATGTTACAAGCGGGTCCACCTCGTAAGCCTTTACTGACACATTTTGAGAGCTGGCCTGTTTCCCTTTCTTTGATGCACTGGTCTTGCAGTGCCATTGACCATAGTGAATGAATATATATTGGCTACATAGTAATGCTTTGCCGACATCTTTTTCTACCAAAAGGAAGATGCGTGTCTGCTTGAAATAGGGAAATTCGTTTATGAAAACTGCTGCTTGTTGTAACACACGTGCTTAATCGTTGCTGCATCCGTGGCCACTGCAGCAATTTTTATAATTCGTATATTGGATGGATGCAGGAGTTATTAAAAGGTGGGATGCGAAGCTTTCTGAGGAATTTCCTTGAAAATGTTTTGCCTGTATTTCCTGTCTTGTGTTATTTTGCTTTGTGTTTACAGTAGCCGGTGCAGGATTATATCCGAACTGGGTGTTACGTTTGCTCGTTCTTTCTGAGGTCCTGGGCATAAACCGAGACTGTTTACACATTAACTTGAATTTCTGCCTTGCATGTCTGCTGTTGTGGAATTCGCATGTCAGAATTTGATCGTGCATTCACATAGTTAGGTGGTGTTCATGAAAATAAACTATCATAGTTTAACAATGAGTGGAGTTCAACGTAAGTATATACCAAGCATTGTTTCTAAAGAATTTTTTCAATGCAACGAATCCGATAAAATTATGTGAGTGTTTTATAGCTAGCCATGCTTCCCCTTTCTTAAAGATATGAATGTTTCATTATAGGATAACATATATTTAAAAATAGTTAAAACTCATAACTTTGGCCGTTGTTCCGCGTTTTTGACGTTATCCGTCTTGCACTGCTGCACCTTTTTTTGTTTGTCCATTTGATTTGCATGTTACCTTAAAACTTAATAGAAATCCAGTGTAACTGCTCCCCCCCCCCCCAAAAAAAAAAACAAAAACAAAACACTAAGACATATTTGTGGGGTTAGCTGTTTGTGTAATATTAATGCTATATTTAACAAAACACCTTAAATTTATTATGAATATTTGGTTTGATTTAATATTAGATACAATCTTCATTTGCTGCAGAGCTGACTGGTAATGACTGAACCACTCCTGCCGCTTTGAAATGCATACATCCATGCAGAGAAGGATTAGGGGTACAGAGATATTTGGATGTCTTCTTGCGTGTGTCTAACAATGAATGGGGATGATTAGTTTGCTATAACACTAGAGAGACAATCCTCAAAGGAGTGACATCATCGTATTGCTGTCTGTACTCTCCCCTGGATCCACTTTCAGCATAAAGCTGAGCTGCTAATTTCTGCAGTGATCTCAGATATTACTCACTGCAGGGTGACCTTCATGCTAGTTGCACAGGTTTTCTTGGCATCTGTTAAAATTGCTATTTAACTTCTCCATCAGATGCATGGGCAGATATCGTTCATTGTGCAGGGGTAATACCTGCAACGCCACTACTTCCATATTAGGATTGGATGCACCATTTAAAAAAAGCTTAGTATGCTCTGAAAACCTGTGTGTATTGGGGGGGGGGGGGCTTAAGTCTGTAAGGAATCTGACTGTGTCTGTGTGTCATTTTACCCAAGTAAAACCTAATGGCCAGAGCCGTGTAGATATGTTGAATCTTTGGAATAAGATAGATAGATAAATTCAGGAGTTTGGGGGATAAATGGTGGCTTAGCATAACATGACTGTTACACGATGCACTGGTTCATATGTGATTGAAGTGGTGAAATAGTCTGCTTTGGCTATAACATGTTTATCTGTTAAACTTCTAAAAACTGTCTTTTTGTTTCAATCAAAGAACATTTTGTCTTGTGTCAACGCACAAAATAAACCAGAGTCGTCAAATTCTCTTCTGTTCAACAGCATAAAAAACGTACTTTGCTATTGTATAATGTTATAACAGTGTAATCTTTTGAAATGATTATTCACAGGTTTTTGGCCTGAGTGAAGCATGTCATATTCAGTAGCTACGCAAAGAGAGATCCTTTCACGGACTGTGTGTGTCCGGCCAGAAAGCCTGGAAAATATTTCCAGTGTACTGGCTGTTTCCAGTCTGTTTTTGACATACAATGCAGTGTATTATGCAGTGTGAAGTAGTTTAAAATTTTTTAAGCTAATTTAATTCATTTTTGGAAACATATAAGGTAAATATGATCACTTTGCAGCAGTTTTTATCACCTGAAAAATACTAAAGCACGTATATGATGGCTGAGGTCTCATGCCAGTGTTTCAGGTTGAAAATTGCTTAAAATACAGTTCAAGTAAACTGCTGATGTGGAACTATGCTCGCACTGTCGTACAAGTGTATGTACGTGCAAGTGTCTATGTGCTGTGCGTGTGTATGTCTCTTTTGATAAGAGGATATTGCAGATGGACGGCTGGAATATAGCCAGGGGTAAAGTCACCATCATCACTGCGATAGTCACATCAGTGAGCCCGGGGCTAGGAAGCATATTGCATGTGTCGTACTGAAAGGGCTTCATTGTTCTGCTTAGAATGTCTGTGTGTATCAGTAAGCTGGAAGATGTATTTCAGGTTCCTGGTTTACGGCTGGGTGGATGAGTGGTGCATGTGTGCTGCATACATAGACATAGAGTGCAAAGCAGTGCAAAGCAGTGCAAGGTGGCCACCCAGCAAGGCAATTAGTGGGGCTTCCGTATGTGAAAGAGTCTGCATCCCTCAAGAATGCTCTGCAGATAGTTTTGTGCTATGCACAGCCTGCAGAGGTTGGACAATGAATGTGTAAACTGATATTTAGATGTTGTGGTTTGATAGAAATTGTAATTGTTTGATTGGAGAAGGTTATTAAGTTATTCTGGTTGTTCCATTACAAGGTAGGTTTTCTTAACTGAAATTAAGATAAATCAATGCAATAAAAAATGAATATTATAACGTAGTTTAACTTCAATTTTATTTTCTCAAACTATTCAGCAAAAATACTAATTAGGAGCTTCAGGTGAGGTTGGGGATGCTAACAATCTTAGTTTTAAAATATTTTTGTTATTGTTCTATATTTATATATTTTACATGAGAAGAATATACATTATTATGGAGACTTGCTTTTGGGTAAAGCAGGACAGGTCCTGTCTGAAGGTACCAGCAGAGCTGCTCAGACACCGTTTGGTGGGTGATACTCTGATGGAGCTCCTTGGTGATATGAAGTGTGAAAAGTCAGTCATGCAAGTGTGAAAATGGATGTAAGTGTGAATTGCTGTAAGTCAAAAAACTGCTTGTATAACAACCCTCTTAATGTTTCCACAAGTATGGCCTGTGTACTTATTTAAGATTGTCATGAATGTCTAAAATGAAAATGCTCCAGAAAGCCAGTTTATTTAATACAGCTTGTTATTGTTGATTTGCATGGTATTTCATTTGTCCGGCATAATTTCTATTGCATTCTTGCAACAGATGACAAAACTCCATTTAAAATAAATGGAAAGTACATGCAGGTACAATAGCAGGTACAATAGTAGTTCCCTTCTGTGGATTTGTACCTGCAATGTTTTCTGTCTTTGTCAGATTCTAGTTCTGAAACCAGTTACATTTGCCATTTATCAGCGATATTAGATATTTTCCATGACTTGAAATGATTGCTGTCAGTCTTAATATTGATAAATGTTCCATTTGAACTACATGTGTCTGTATTCAAGTTCATTCACTCAAAGGAAATTTAAAACCTACAGAGTCAATGATGTCATTGCTACTTGTGTGTTTATCATTGCTTGGATCCAGTCCCTTTAAAGAATTTTTCAGCTCTGAAGCAAGATAGCAGAAAATATTCTTAGTACTGCTGGTTCAAAGCAG